CAAGCTTGTTGCCATCCGCATCGACTTCATCACCGAACCTGTTACGGAAGGGCTGGAAGGCGAAGAATTTGTTCATGAGACTGGTATCGTATCCCTCCATCACAACGCAAAGCGAAATGACGAAAGAAAAGACGATTGCCTTCCACCAGAACCTCAAGGACTGTCGGACGGACATGTTGTGCTCATTGTTGATAGCTGCGTTGGTGTCGTCTCCGGTGTTGTGGCCTTGTGTCGAGGTGACCCTTTCGGCGGCCACATGGCCAGTAGTCTTCTCTACCGAAGCCATGTCGAATTGAGTCCAGAGTATGCCCGGTGTCAGAGATGGGTCTTCGGTGTTGATGGGTTGACAAGATGCAGGTCAACCACACGTACGGATCTGCGGTCTATATAGTCCCCAGCGCTGTGGTATGCATGCCTGACAGACGAACCCATTACAGGAGTCAAATGGCTAGCCCGAGAGCTTGGGAAGCTAAGCCCCGGTAATGACCGAAATGGGGCAAGACCGCGGTGAGTTGCGGGGAAAGACATTCAGAACAAGAGTGCCCATGGGGAGACGAGGCGTCAAGTGCGCAAATGAAGCCAATCAGAACCCCGACGAGGTTTGCCCGGGCACCAGATCGCGAGAGAACTTCAAGAAAGCTTTCCTCGAAGTTTTCCGCCGCTAACATTGTCACTTGGCGGACCCGTCCCGGCTCTAGTGTTGCAAAGAAAGCCAGGGCCCAGAAGTAGGACTTGCAGCAACCCTTCTCTTCTCCCGAGGTCATTATACGCTATAACATAAAACATAAGCTCTCATAAGACGACGGAAGTAACGTAGGTAATGCTCTGAGTAGGACAAAATCCTCGATTGAGCCTACCAGAGTGTTTTGTTGTTGTTTTGTGAGAAATGCCCGCTGTTAGCCCGAGCGTGTTTCCAACTTCCGATGTCACGCTAGCCGAGGCAATGTGTCTGCACGAGCCATGCAGACCCGCCTTTTAACCCGTGGCGTTGAGTTTTCCACGTGAGGTTTCCGCTCTCATCCTCCTGCATTCCATCCCCAGGTTCTTGCGCAAGTCCGTCAAGCTATGCGCAAACCATCTGCCTGCCAAGCGTGCCGGTAAGCATCTTGCACGTTGTCAGTAGAGGCGATTGCCCGCTAATTCGGTTGGAAGAACCCGACGCCGAAAATGCATCTACCCAACAGGCGGGCTCGCAACGGCATGCGAGTATTGCTTGTCACATGGTCTGCAGTGTCTCCAAGGCCCACCAGAGGGAGGTTACTATGCCAAACGCCGGGCTAGACTTCAAGAATTGAGTCAGGTACATCGAGCGTCCTTAGAACAAGCGGAAGCACTACCAAATCAAGGTCATGGCGATCTGCCTCCGACTGCCTTGAGACGAGCGCTGGTGGAGCTATACTTCGACTACATCCACGACCAGTTCCACTCCATGTACCATAAGGTTTCGTTCATGGACGATGTCGTAAACAACCGAGTACCGTCTATCGTGCTTTTCGCGATATGTGCGCTGGCTGCCAGGTTCTCTACCGACAGCTTCTTCGACGGAACTGATCCGAGAGAAAGAGGCGAGGTCTACCGCAAGGCAAGCGAGAGTTTGTTCAATTTGCGCGACCTCACGCCTACCACAATTCAAGCATGCGTTTTACTGGGCGCATATGCTGCTGCGGGTGGTGAGACTGATGTCGAAAACATGTACTACAGCATGGGTGGACGACTTTGCCTGGCCCTCGATCTACCAAATCGACCCGTCACAAGTCTGGTAGAGCGCGAAGTCAACATCAGAACTTGGTGGACACTGTGCATGGTTGACGTTTGGTCATCTACTGCGGTGAGACTACCGCGAATCATGCCGTTTGACACTGCTGTGCCTCTTCCAATTGATGAGATACCGTTCTCTATGATGAACGACTGGGCTATCAGCGACCAAACGCATGGCATCACCTCACCTCTTCTCGCGGAGATGATCAAGCTCAATCGGATTCTGGCGAGGATCATCGACTTCAATCGACTGTGCGTGTCAGAACATCTCGAAGGCCTACCGCTGGAGAAAGGGATACGTGAACTTTCCCGCGATCTCGATATCTGGTTGGAGGAAGTCCCGCACCATATGCGTGACACGCCAGCGAACCTGACAGCCTTCGCGTCGCGTGGCCTTGGGCGTATGTTTGTAGCTGTGTATCTCGGCTACTACCACTACGGACTGCTCCTGAACTATCAATTCTTGTCATCTTCAATCGAAGCATCACCCGACTCCGGACGATATGCTGATGCCTGCAAGCAACATGCCGCCCGACTTTGCGCCCTCGTCTACCGCTCACAGTCCACGCCTGGGAGCGAAGTCTTGTATCCGGCAGTTTCGCATATCCTTGTCGTTGCTTCCACCGTTCAAATCCACACCTTACTCTTTTCCGGTGACGAAAGCCAGATACGCATCTCAAAGACCAGATTGGAACGCAACTTCGAGATACTCCTGCGGCTGAAGACCTATTGGCCGAGTGTCGACGGTGCAATGAGTCGTCTTCGGGCGTTCCACCAGACCTGTCTTCGAAGCAAAGAGACCAGCTTTGTGCTTGATCGGTGGCTGTTGCGCTTCCTGGTCCAATTTGCCCCTCATATGGAGCTCGAGCCAAGGGATAACGACCCCGAGTACGAAGCGTTGCTCGCATTGAGCAGGCAATCCCCATTGTCGTGCTATTCAGGCCTGTCCATGTGATCATGCGCGACTGAGATTCTAAGCAGCATGCTGGGGAACCTGGAAACGAGGACGGCAGCGAAGTGGTTCATTACGGCTCAAGCGTGATGGTGGAGCCGAGACTAGCGTCGCGAAACTTACGAGCTTTCCTGGAGTGTGGAGCCCCAAGAGAGCCAGGGCTTGGCGACAGGGTCCGTCACTCACGTTTGCGGTCCACTCGAAGTAGTACACACGTGTAAAGCTGTTTAAGAGTCTGGATTGTGCTTCTTTGCTTGAAGCAAGAATCAACTTCGCACTCAAGTCATGGCTCTATCACGCAGCACCATTCTCGTGGTCACGACGCTGCTGGGCAGCGCGACAGCGATCAACAATGGCCTCGCTACTACCCCACCAATGGGCTGGGTAAGATATTCGTATCCTACTCCTGAATTATCATTAACAAGATCAGAACAACTGGAACGCTTTTGGATGCGACGTCTCCGAAGACCTTCTCCTTACAACCTCCGCACAGATCGTGAGCTTAGGCTTGCGAGACTTGGGCTACAACTATGTCGTACTAGACGACTGTTGGCAGAACCCAAAGGGTCGAGACAAGAAGGGAAAGCTTCAACCGGCGCTCGACAAGTTCCCCAACGGTCTGAAATCTATCTCAGATCATCTCCATAGCCAAGACTTCAAGTTTGGCATGTACAGCAGCGCTGGTGAAATGACATGTGCGAGATTTGGTAAGATGAATCAAATAAACATACCTCTTGCATCAAACTAACTCAAAGTAGAGGGCTCGCTAGACCACGAGGTCGACGATGCAGAAAGTTTTGCAAGCTGGGGTGTCGATATGTTGAAGTACGACAGCTGCTACCACATGGGTCGTGTTGGCACACCTTCGGTCTCATTCAACCGCTTCAAAGTCATGTCAGATGCTTTGAAATCAACAGGAAGGAACATTCTCCTCAATCTGTGCAACTGGGGAGAGGATCTTGTCCACACAGTAAGCACCATGAGATACCTGTCCGCTACGACGTTCAAGGACTTACCATCACCAGTGGGGTATGAGTATCTCCAACAGCTGGCGCATTACAGGCGACATCTACGACTCTTTCTCTCGTCCTGATGATTTATGCGGATGCAACACCGTATCACCGGGCGACGTCAACTGCGTAGCACCCGGCACACATTGCTCCGTTCTTTTCATTCTCAACAAAGTCGCGCCCTTTGCCGATCGCAGTATTCCTGGTGGATGGAGCGATCTGGACATGCTCGAGGTCGGCCAAGGCGGTATGACTGACGAAGAGTACAAAGCACATTTCGCTCTCTGGGCCGCCATCAAGTCTCCGTTATTCCTCGGAAACGACCTGCGCAACATGCCAGCTTCCGCTCTCACCATCATCAATAATCCAGCCATTATTGCGCTGAGCCAGGATCCCCATGGACGTAGCGTAACGCGTGTTCGAAGGGATACGGAAGGTGTAGCGAAAGACGAGTGGGGTATGGGTGAGACGCACGTGTGGGCAGGTCATCTCCAGAACGGCGATGAAGTCGTGATCTTCCTCAACGCTGGTGGCGAAGACATGGAGATGAGCGTCTCCCTCGCTGAAATCTTCATTCCATACGGACCTGGTGGATCAGCCCCACACGTAAAGTATGACTGGGCAATCCACGACCTTTGGGCCCATCGCATGCCCGAAGCGACAGCGGAAGAGCTCCTCGCAGCGGCCTCGCACACGGAGAGAGAGTCGATCTTGTCAAAGGCCAACTGGTACAACGCTACCGAGATCCCTTACGCCAAGGGTCTGGTTCAGGAAGACCCGCGACTGTTTGGCGAGAAGATTGGCGTTGTTGAGGCTGGTGGTAGGCTCAAAGCAGACGTCAAGAGTCACGCTGCTCGCGTCTTCCGACTACGAAGAATCGCGCCAGAGCACGATCAGTTCGAGGCGAAGAGTATTGCGAGAGAAGACGGTAACGAGAGGGATGAATTGTAAAATGATATGATTAGTAAGGTACCTTGGTGGGACAAGAGATCTCAGATAGTCTACCTCGATGGGAAACAGAAAGGAACATAGGTACTCAGAGTTGCGATAAATCTCATGCGCAATCAATCGTGATAATTGTGGAAGGTGTGGTTGGCTCGTTGTCTCCAGGTTATCACAGTACCATGGAACGGAGTGGATGGAACCAGAGAATCAACTTCTGGATTTTTCGAATATATAGCGATCTTGCTCATCCTCCCTCCTACACATCTTAACCCTTACATAGGCTGTCTCTACGTTCTTTATTACACACAGCAATCAAATCTGCACCAGACGCAACCATGACCAAAAACGCAAAGGTCATATCTCCGGCTCAAGCCACATCCGCAACCCAGACGACATCCTGGGAATGGTCAGCTCCATACTTCGTTAAGCGAGCGCAGGAAGTTCAGGCCAGATTAGATCTCCAACGGCAGACTATGGAGAACCTTCAGAACCAGCATAAGAACCTTCAGGACCAGAATAGGAACCTTCAGGACCAGAATGAAAACCAGAAGAAGGATTACGAACGCGAGTTGAAGACATGTATCGGAACGTTTATTGTCGTTTTGCTCACCTTCGCCGCCTTCATGATATGTGGCTTTCTACCATCTTCTTCGCCCGAACATTGTTCATTTGCGCTAGAAGCGAAAGCTGTCCAGATGACGCCCACGCCTACTACGGTCACGGTCACGCTACCGGTAGCCACGCCTACTACAGTCACAGTCACGCTGCCGGTGGCAACCAACGCCGTGCCGACAATCAAGGCCGCACCAGCCTTCAGCCTGACCCCTACAGCTGATCAAGTAAGCTTTGGTCTTCGATCATACATCTATTATAAGCTCTTAACATGCTAACGCCTCAATAGGTATGGACTGGTCTGACACACGGACAAATATTGTCCATCATCCTCGAAAACAATAAGATCCAAGCTCGATACAACGAAAACTATAGGACCTGGAGCAAGGAAGAAGACCGGAGGTTCTGGTCCTCGTATAGTTCGAAATATTCGTTAACACCAACTCCAACACCTGCTCGATTCAGCGAAAACTATAGGGCCTGGAGCAAAAAAGAAAGTGATGGGTGGTGGGAACAGTGGAATGCCCAGGAGGCCCAGAGAAAATCAGAAGATCGAAAGTTCTGGTCTTCGTGGAGTTCGCAATATGCGACAACACCAACTCCAACGCCTGCTCGTTAGGCTACCGCGTAGGTGCTCTTTGAAGGCCAGTGCAAGCATACCAGATTACTTCTCTACAATCACTTGGTGGTCATATCTCTGAGCCAGTCTTGAGACCTCGTCAGGATTGGGTTTCGTGTCGTATGCGACGTCTTTGAACAACTAGCCAGACGCCTACAAAGAAGGCAGCGCTTCGCAACTTGTATGTCATACTCTAGATATCAGTATACGTTATCTTTGTCTCTCTCGACTTGCAAAACTGCAGCACTGCGAATCCTCCGGGGGTAGACCCTGCTACATCTTCCAGCTCATTTCTCCAGCATAGTATGCTCCAGAGTCTCTCCCGAACTTGTCCAGCTTGCAAGTCACCTCAACTCGTATTCTACACAAGGCTGGGTTCTATCAGCGACACCGAACTGACAATACCATGACTTCTTCCGGAAGAGCCGATTCACTAAAGTATCTGATGTCATATCGCGCTCGGGAGGATACTATATATTGCCTACCTGTATGCCCTCCCTCCTCTTCTCTTCTCTCAGCGTCGTGATTTCCCATCCTCACACTATCAATTGATCATCTTTTACTACTTACCATATACATTTACCATATATCAACATGCGCATCTATATTCATCATCTCAATCTCCATCATGGACACCCTACTCTCTTCACCAGCATATTACCCTGGGCCGGTCAATTGCCCCGTTCTGCCAAGTCACCGCATGGATGGCTTGAAAGAACGCGAGCCATCAAGGGCAGGAGACCTATACACAGCAGAGATCGGTCAGACGGTCAACACCATCAACCATCAGAGAAACGCGGTCAAGTTGATCATGGCGAGATGGTCCGCCGTAGACCCAGTTCACTACCCAACTATTCTGGGCGTGAGCCAAAACAACAGTAAAAGTGAGGACGTAGAGGCTGTAGTCAGCATGGTGAATACCATGCAGACCAGCTGGATCGGCCAGTCCTCCTGGGTCCAAGGCTATATCAAGGAAGAGACTGATTGGCACGATCTCCAAGCCCATGTCAACAATCTCAACCGATTTCGACTCCTGCTCAAGGTACCACAGCAAAATGAGACTCCCGTGCAGAGGACCGCCTGTCGAGCTCTGCAGCGCGCATACAAGAAAGCAGTTAGGATTCATACTGAGCACACCCAGACAGGTGACCTCTAAGCCTACATCAATAACCTAAGTCGTATGAGTGCGACCTTGGAATGACTGAGCGCGGTGCCTACAATACGGTCAGATCTTAGCGAATGAGATTTCTCAAGAGAGGCGCAGCCCTACGAGCGGATGCTTAGAGACTAACTGAATAACATCGGAGACCCAGAGGAATACGATGCGGTTAGTAAGTAACAGAGTGATATCCCAAAATGGACTCTGGCTACTACAAAACCACCTGCGTTGACCAGAGCCCGCGACAGGCAAAAGCCGGGAGGCTCGAGCATACGATCAAGAAGGTTGTCGACACTGTCAATACTATACCGACACATAAGATGCCAGATCTGAACGAGCGAGACCCTGCGAGAGCAGCCAACGAGTGGCAGAATCTCCCAGGAAATCAGCCCAACAACACCAAAGTACAGCGTGACATAATGAATCTCATTACGGCAAGGTACTCGCAGGTCGATCCAATCCACTACAGCACAATCCTCGGAGGCCCGCAGGCGAATGCCGGACACCTCGAGAGTGCCATCAAAAATTCCGTAGATACTATTACCTCTAACTGGATGGGAACTCTCTTGTGGCTTTAAGCTTTTGTCGAGGGCGAGACATGCTGGTAGGACTATCAAGTTATCATTAACAACCTCCACCGCATGTCAAAGCTCTTGAAGCTGATCCCGGAGGGCGAGACGCCTGAGAATCGCGCATTACACCTCACGCGCCGCGAAGCGTACAAGAAAGCTCTGCGCGCCTATTAAGAACACGTCCGCCTGGGAGTAGAGGCAGAAATCCAGACTGCAGAAGATGCGTTGGAAGACTTGTCGGCAAAGGACGGCGTGACACAAGTTGAACTCCAGGGCGCTCGGGACGAGCTCGATTTCCTCCGCGGCCATGGAGAGGGCATCACACCCACAACTTGCAACGTAGTCCGCACGATCACAGACGCTGGAGAGAAAGGCGTCATGTATCGTGCTCTCTCGGGGGACGAGCAGGTCGCATACTGGAATGCGCGCTGGACTGAAGATGTCTTTGTCACGTATCTTTGGGAGGTCTCGGGCATTTGGTGCGATATTTATCACACCCATGACCGGCCCAGCATCTCAATATAGTTCGGATTGAGAGGCAGCGGCGCCTCCCACCGCTCGCCGCACCCTTCGCTGAGCTTCCAAGGAGACGATCCGAAGTCACACGGGCATAACCACCCAGAAGCGGCAGTGGAGCTCGGTGGCGCCGAAGCAGCACTGGAAACTGTCCCGACGCTCAGAGACGGCATCACTCATGTCGAATGGGATGACGCCGTACTGCGTAGCACGTACCGCAAGAACCCCCTCTAGCCCGCAGACCCCGTATCCCACCAGTACACCTTAGAACCTCTGAAGGCGACAGCAGTGTGTTAGAGCTCGGCGACCAAGTCTCTCGTTCGAAGCTCGCTTGACTTCCCCGACAACAAGGCTCTCGCGTATGCAGTGTTTAAGCGCGCTGATTCGATCCTCTATCCTCCCGAGGTCCAGAACACGTAAACCCCCCCGGTTCCCACATGATTCTGTAGGTCCAGGGTGCCCCAAGCCAGAAGATGCGGACTAGGAAGCGGGCTCGAGAGGGCGATGGTGATGAGGAGGAAGGACGTGGTATGGCGGATTTCTTACGTGATACATATGGAGCGAGGGGTTGTAGGCGGAGCGATTGAAAACATTGGAACGTGATGGAGACATAGGATGTCTGCATCAAGACGACTACGATTAAGTTGCATGGGAAGATTGGAATTTCGCTGGAGGCGGTGATCACAGTCCAGTCGCTGCAAGCCCGATGAGCAGGATAGCGTAGGAGGACGGTCTTGAAGAGGGCGCGGGTACTACTCTCATCCAATAGAAGAAAGGCCTCGATTAACAGTACCGCAATAGACGTCTACTTCCCACTAACATCTTGCACCCGCCCGATCTCAACGTAGGCTGACGCCTTTACGACCCCCACTGCGACGACACCACGATCCGCAACATGTACCATGGTAGCTACTATAACCTCGTCTACCCCGCATACCAGTGCTTCTGTATGTCGCAGTGCGCCGCCAAATCACAATTACGTGCACGCAGATGTCGAAGTTGCTTATATTTCGTGCTGTTATCACCCTCCTAGGAGACCGAAACACTGCATATGGCGAGTACAAGCGAGCGGGGTGGAACAGCGAAGTCTTCTGGGTTCAAATTGGGGATTTTCTGGCGGTGGTGAGCGATCTAGGTAGACCTCCGGGTGAGGTGAGATATAGCTGTCTATCTACAGTGTAATCTGTGTATTCTTCTGGCCCACTGAAAGAAAATTGTAGCAATTTGATACACGGTTTTGGATTCTCCGCGGTACACTTCTATCCACTACGCCTCTTCTACACAATTAAGCGTTTTCTTCCCGCATACTTTACATAGCCCGATCGAAGGTGCAAAAACACGACGTACTCTCCCCGCAGCGTAATAACCCAACACAATTACTTGCGAAAACTAGACATATCCCTATTCCTCTGAACAACCATCTGTTCCTCAGCACTTCAATTCCTCTCGCTACGCCATCCCGTACCACCCCTCACGATCGCGGAAGCACTGCTTGTCTCGCCTTATATGAACAAAAGTTCATTTCTGGTATACACATCTCAGTCTGAGTGGGCAAGGAGTAGCAAGAGTGGTGATCGAAGGCCGAGATACCTGATGTTTGTTGGGAACGGGATGTATGTTATGGGTACAAGGAAAGGGTCTCTATGTTGGATTTTTCTTGGTTGGGTTTGGCAGCGGCTTGAGAAGAGGAAGACGGAAGGATAGGACGGAGGGGTAGAAAAACAGCACACATGCTTAACGATTTACATTCGTATTCAAATCCACATTGCCATCTTAGTCGGTCGATCTATGCATCTATTCCCCCTTCTCGCATTCCCTACTTTCCCCTGCACATGTCATGCACCTCCCACCAACGTCATCTACAGTTCATCACTCCCCTCCTCCCTCCCCCCCTTCCCATCCTCCTTCGCGCCCTGCGCCACCAACCTCTCAATAGCAGCCTTAATATCCTCCTCACTCGCCTCACTCCCAATATCCAATTTCTTCAGCAACCTGCCCTTTTCATCCGTTACATCCCCCTCCCCCTCTCCATCCGTCTGACTCCCCATATTGCTCAGCTTAATTCCATCAGCGCTAAACCCCGCCTTCTTGAGCGCCTCTTCCAACTCCGCTTGGCTGGGACCACTCTCACCATCTGCAGCGGGAACATCCGTCTCCTTGGTCTCAGCCTTAGCAGATTTCTTCGTCTTAGTCTTCTTCGCCTTCTTAGTCTTCGGCTTTGCAGTCTTGGTCTTGGAACTGGATTGGTTCGGGGGCTTGAAGTGCTTCATCTTCTTCATCATCATGTCCATGACGACGTCGTCTAGCTTCTTCTTCTCAGCCAGGATGTCCTTGACCGTGAAGACGGGATCGTCTGTGGGGCCTAGTTCAGCTTGCTTGGCCTCGTTGTCGTCGAGCCAGACCTGTGCTTTTTGTGCGTGTTCCTGGACGGTCTTGAGGTCGGATTCGGTGTAGATGGTAGGGACTTCGGTGATTTCAGGTGCGGCGGGCGCGTCGGCTTCTTCGTCGAGGTCGTCCATGGGGTCGGTGGAAGGTGAGGCGGAGGCGTCAGCGGAGGCCTTGGAGACGGCTTCGCTGCTCTTGGAGCTCTCGGCGGATTGCGTCTTGATCTGGCCATCGACAAGTTGCTCGACTTCCTTGATGTGGGCGATGGTGTCTTTGAGCTCTTTGATGGCATCGGGGCGCTTGGATGCTTCGTCCTTGCGCTTCATCACTGGGTTGACAATGTTCTCGAGCTCCTTGAGCTTACTCCTGAGAGTCTTCTCATCGGCGTCGGCACCACCGGAGTACATCCAATCTGAGGCGGCGCTGAGGGTCTTTTCGAGTGTTTCGCGGACGGCAGAGGTGGAAGCTCCGATGAAGGATTCGTCCTCGAGGTAGTCGCGAGCGCGGTAGGTGAAGGCTTCAAGCGAGTTCAAGACCTCTTCGCGGGTGCGGCGAGACTTGTCAGATGAATCGAAGGCGGCAAGCCTGTCGACGTTAGTCTTTGAACGAATACAACAAAGCTCATAAACTCACCTGTCCTGCATCCTCTTCATCTCCTTGCGAGGGAACTTCTTGTAACCCAACTGCTCAACATCATACGTGATCGCAGACCTAACAGTCTTAATCTTCTTCTCTCCAGCCTTCGCAGCATCAGTGCTCTCAGCACCTGCGGAAGACGAAGACGACGACGACTTGGAGGACTTGGAGGACGAGGCAGATGAAGAAGAAGAGCTCTCGCCCTCCTTCAACGGCTCCTGGTCCTTCTTGCCACCCATGCCAAACAGGTTCTTGACACCATCGACGATGCCGCCCTTGACATCCTCGCTCTCAGTCTCACAGGTAACCCACGCAGACAAGACCTCGGGAGTACCAGTAACAGGGCTGAGCCTAACCTGAACGTAGTTGTTGAAGCTATCACGCTCGCACTTGTTGTCGTTGATCATGTGGGTAACAACCTTAGTCAAGTTACCGCTCTGGAAGTGAAGAGTAGGCTCCTTGGACACCTCGCCGTTAGCGCCAGGAACAGCCTGGTACATGGTGAACTCGAACTCGCCCATGAAGTTGAAAGGCAGGTCCTTGGTCGCTCCAAGCTTGGTGTTGGGAGTGAAGATCTTCTGGTCGCGCTCCTTAAGGTTGAGCATGTACTGGTAGCCGTGGTTGTAGCCCTGGGTGTCCGAGTCGCGGATCTCCTTGACGCGGAAAGATGGGCTGAGACCAGCGGCCTTGAATGCAGCGCCAAATACGGCGGCCTCGTCGGCGTTGACGTTTGCCCTGATCTTGCTCTTGCCTGCGACTGCTTCGAGACGGGCCTGGACAAAGGGTGTGCGGCTCGCGCCACCGTGGACGATGACAGAGTCGATATCAGCGAATGTAAGACCAGCGGCTGCGAGGGCCTGGTTGATCGGTCCATCGATACGCTTGGCGTAGTCGGCAGTGAGCTCCTCAAACTTGGTGCGAGAGAGCTTGTACTTGAAGTCGACATCCTCGTAGAAGCTCTCGAAGAAAGAGTTAGTTTCCTTGTTAGCGCTGAGCATCTGGCGAACCCTCTCAGCCTCCTTGAAGAGCTTCGCGGCGGTACGTCCATGACCCTTGACCTTGTCGGCGGTGAAAGAAGCGCTCTTGGCAGCTGGAAGCTCAACAAAGGTAGCCACCATGTCGTCGACGATGAGCGAGTTCATCGCATCACCTCCAAGCGTCCTATCCCAGCCAGCGCCCATGACCTGAACCTCCTGGATAGTCTTGTTGCGCCTGCCAACATCCTTGACAGACCTGCCCTGGAACTTGAGAACAGTAGCCGACAAAGATCCAGCGCCCATGTCAAACACCAGGTTCGTCTCTGGCTTGCCGTCCTTTGTAACATCGGGGAAGGTCCTGCCAGTAGCGTAGTTGAGACCAACAGCCAGCCCATCTGAAACAACGCTGAGCACCTTGAGACCAGCCAGACGAGCAGCGACCTCAAGCGCGCGCCTCTCGTCGACCGTGTAGAATGCTGGAACCGTAAACACAACGTCCTGGATATCGTAGCCCTTGCCCGCCATCGCCTTCGCGTTCTCCCTGACGTTCTTCAACTCCATAGCCAGTAGCTCCTCAACCGTGTATGATTTGTCCTCAGCGAAGACGCTGCTCACAAAGCTAACCGTGTTGCGCTTGTCCGTTCCTGTAACCTCCAACGC